AGTGTGGCATAAGGACATTTTTTAGACATGCATGGGCTCAAAAACAATTACTTTCCATGAACCTCTCCCATGAAGTAACTGAGGGAGGTGCACCACCAAAATGAGGGTATAAATCAAGAAACAGGAAATTATGTGGTCCAGGAAAACAGGGAAGTTGTCAGAAAGAGGAAACCTGATGATTGTGAAGGGAGATGCCAGGATGACAGATGTGCCACAAGCCTTGGGAATATCCAGTCTAGATGAGTCACTGCTTCAAGAAGATGAAATCTGTAAAACACCTAAGTGTGTGAATGTGTTCAGGGACTTAAATATGTGGGGGGAATTTGAGCTAAATTTATTATAAATTCACAGTAAGAAGGAGGGATTTAGGAAGAAGGAAAAGTCATCTAGGCAAAGTCTAGAGTAATAAAGGGTAAAATTCAAACAGTGAAGGTGAAGAAGGAAAATGCCACAGAGAAGAAAGACAGCAGCAACCAGGATGGTGAGTGTTCCATAAAACAGGCATGCATCAGCCTGATTGCATCCATCATACAAACAGGTATCTAAGAATCAGCACTGCTCGAACAATGTTTGTGTGTTTGAAGATATTTTGAGGGATATGGGCTTGGCAGGAGTTTAGGGTGAATGAGGACACTAAAAAAAAGCTATCCAAGCTATTCAAGAAAAGCTTAAATTTCAGCATGTAGCTTTAACAGTGGTGACTTGGTATAAACATAGTATAAAGATCTAAAATACATAAAATTCATAAGATACATGAAATTCAAAGGGAATACAGTAGGTAATCTATTTAACAGAAAATTCAGTATCTACTAACATTATCATCTCCTTTTATAGTGACAGGCTAATTAATCATTCACTTTTCATCTGATGGAGGAAATCAGCCTTTTTGAAAGGGAAGAAATTTTAGGCTGTATGACAGCTTCAATTCATGTCAAACTTCATTTGAACTGTCAGACTAAATGTTATTATTGTAAAAGAACATCCCTTAGTCCAGAAATCCCAACAACGGGTAATTCAGCCCAGAGAGAGGAAGTGTGTCTCACAGTCTAAAGGGATGTCCAAGTTCAGATGATACAGCACTGTTAGAGTGCAGGGCTTTACTGAAACTTTGTCACCTCCAACCACACCTTCTAAAATAAACCGACTATAATTACTATGCTCCCCCCTACCAGCTTATATCTTTTGGTTCCTTGCTCCAGTCCCTCAGTCAATTATACCCTGTACTGCTCTCTGTTCCCTAATTACACAAATTAAGACTAATTAAGTAAGGTGCATTTCTCATGATGTGATTCTTATTTTATTCTATTTTTATGTGGTGGGGGACGGAAGCAGAGGCTCAAATCACTTTGGAACAATGCAGGAAATAAATACATACATAGAAACTAACAATTCTGAGCACTAAGAATAAAGATTATCCTAACAAATTTCACCCTTACAAAACACACATGCTGATCCATACAGCCCTAGCTCTCTTCGGCTACCAATTTTAAAGTGTATTCAGTTACCAATTTTAAAGTGTATTCATTTGTTTTTATGAAATGGCCACTTACAGTGATGCTAAGACTCCCAGGATACCAAATACTAAGGAAGGAAACCTGTAAGTTGGAAATGTAAAATTCATTTACATTTACAGTTTTAAGTGTTTTGTATCAAAAAAGAAAAGAATTAAGTCAATGATCTACCTATAAAGTTAGGTAAAGATAACTGAATGCTGTGGTCTAAATGTTAAGTGTCCCCCAACAAATTCATAGGATGAAATCTAATCCCCAATGCAGTAGTGTATTAAGAGGTGGGGCCTTCTGGAGGAAATTAAGTCATAAGAGCTGAGTCCTCCTGCATGGGATTAGTGCCCTTACAAAAGAAGCTGGAGGGAGCTTATCCACCCCTTCAATCATGAGATACTACAGGCCCTCATCAGACACTCAACCCACTGGTACCTTGATATTGGACTTCCCAGACTCCAGAACTATAAAAAATAAATGCTTATTGTTTATAAGCCACCTAGTTTATGGCATTTTGTTATAGCAGCCCAAAGGGACTAAGATACTGATTAATCCAAAATCCCTAAGAGAAAGAAAATAATAAGCCTAAGAGCAGAAATTGGTTAAACAGGAAATAATAAAGAAAATTAAGTCAAAAGTCCACTCCTTCAAATGATTAATAAAATTCAATATCTAGAAGATGGATCAAGAATGAGAACGAACACAAGATATCAAAGGGCTGGAGATGTATGTAGCTCAGGTAGAATGCAGGCCTGTACACACAAGACCCTGCATTTAACCCAGCACTGCAAAAGAGAAAGAGTTTAAAACACAAACTGTCAAGAATAAAAAAGGGAATTTTACAAATCCTACAAATATTGAAACAATAATAAGGAAACACTCCACAACTGAGATGAAAGACAAATTTTTTGAAAAACAAAATTTATCATAACTAATTCAAGACTCACTGAAAATCTTTTTAGCCATATATCTGTTATAGAAATTGATTCATTATCAAAATTCATCCTGCAAAGCAACTGCAATTCTAAATGTTTCGCTAGTGAACTCCAACAAACATTGAAAAAAGAAATAATGTTCATTTTATATAACAATTTTCAACTAATTTTATGAGGCTAGAGGTACCCTGATATCAAAATCATACAAAGCTGTTAAAAGAAAATGACAGACCAATATACTAAATCTAAACGCAAAAATCCTTAACAAAAATGAGCCCACAAAATCTAGGAATATATGAAACCAATTATACAGCATGATTAAGTAGAGTATATTCCCAAAATTCAAGGTTTGTTTAACATTTGAAAAGGAATTAGTGGAATTGACTACAAACAAGTAAAGGAAATGGCATATACAAATGCAGAAAAAAACTGACAAAATTCAATACTTATTCATGATTTTTAAAGTAGGAAAAGAATATTTCTCAACCTGATAAAAGGTGTCTGTGAAAACTAACAGTTAGCATCACACTTTCATGATGAAAGACTGAATACGTTCCCCCAAAGATCAAGAACAAGACAAAAATGTCTACTCTGGGGCACTTCTATTGAACTTTGTATTAGAGGTCCTAGCCAGTGCCATAAGGCAAGAAAAAAAAAGAAGAAGAAAAGGCATGGAAGACATGTTCCTTGTTGCACATGATACAATTTCAATTCTCCCAAAATTGGTCCACAGATTCAATGAGATGCAAATAACAACTCCAATTAGTTTTTTAGTAGAAACTGACAAACCCACTGCAAGTCACATGGAAACATAAAGGTTCTAGAATAGTCATAATGACTTGGAAAAATAAGACTGATTTTAAGACTTATTTATAAGTCGATCACTTATTATACAATCACCAAGAAAAGTTGGTAATGACATAAGAAAACAAATTGACCAATGGGATAAAATTGTTTAAGAATAGACCTACACTCAGTCAAGTAATTTTTCAGAAGGATACCAATGACACCCTTATGAGACAGCTGTCAACGAGTGATACTCTACAAATGATATAAAAAATAGTGAACCACAATTCCTGTAGTACCAACCTCTAAGAATCCTCCAGGATTCTCATTTTCCATTGTACAGTTCCACCCATACTGAGCAGAGTTAACCTGGGTAACAAATAGGATATTGCAGGAATGATGGAGTGTGATTTCTGAGGCAACTTCTTCCTTGTTTCTCTTGGATCACTCTCTGGCTAACGCCAGTTACTTCATCATAAGGACATTCAAAGAGTCACAGAAATGTCTACAAGCCAGGCGCCAGTGGCTCATACCTGTAATCCTAGCTATTCAGGAGGCAGAGATCAGGTAAGAGGGTAAAATGGTACACTAACTTTTCAAAAACTACCAAGGAGTTCTCCAAAGTTGAGGCACATGAACTTTAACAATATCATTCATATGTATCTACCCAACAGAAATGAACATATGCTCACAAATACACTTGTTCAAGAACGGTCATAGCTGGTTTATAACAGTCCAAATCAATAGGAAAAATGGATAAACAAATTGTGGAACACAGTCAACAATAAAAAGAAACAAATTACTGATATAACATGGAAAACATCAAAGAACTACAGAACAGAATACACACTGTATATAATTCCATTATATGAAATTCTGTTTGGTTTTTTTTTGTTTTTGTTTTTGAGACAAGGTCTTGTTACGTAGCCCATACTGACCTCAAACTGATGATCCTCCTGCCTCAGCCTCCCAAGTGCTGGGATTGCAGACATGTGTCACCATGCCTGACCATCAATCATATGAAAGAGTACTGCATCACAGAAATGATAAAGTATGATGTGGTATAAATCCTATTCCCTGGCTGAGGGTGTGGTTCAAGTGGTAGAGCACCTGCCTAGCAAACATGAGGCCTGGTGTTCAAATCCTGGTACCACAAAAAGCAATTAAGAAAAAAAAAAGAATATAGACTGGGGAACTAGTAATCGAATCATAAAAAACTGCTGTTTACATGCCATTTAAGGTAATAACAAATTTAATTTTTTTAAATTAAATGTTGCATTGAAAAGAGTCACGTGAAAAGAAAGATAAAGTTATCCAAAGTAGTAAACAAAAATAACTTTTTCTTTTCTTTGAAATAAGAAAAAAAAAAGGGGGGGGAGGGAACCAAAAACATCCAGCAACAAATGTGCACGTAATTGACATGAATCACTGTGACGCTAACAGAAAAGTTACCGAGTGCTAGGTCAAATCTTTTTCATACCCTGCCTGTAGTCACTAGTGAAGTCAAGAACTTTAACAGACTTTAGCTGCAAAAATAAAATTAAATCCACTAACTCGTACAGAACGTCGTGAGCACCTGTTTGCATGTGTTCCAGCAGGGCTTGTAAGTCAAAGCGTGTGCAAGCAAACGCAAAAACCGGGTGAAGACCCTCAGGCGCAGCCCAAGAGCCTCCTCCCAGGCTGCTTACGGGGATCGGGGAAGTAGGGAGACAGAAGAGCGGGTGCTGCCTCTGCCCTATGACCCCACACCCACGCGCCCGCCGCGCTGGGTACTCACAGCTCTGGTCTCGTACAGAACCAGCTTCTGGACCGAGCTGATGATGGGGGCGGCGGCCGTAGGCATGGCCAAGCCAAATGGGGCCCCACACTAGGGCACCAGGCCGCGGCCCGAGTTGCGGTAGCTGTCGCACGGTCCCAGAAGACCCGGCGAGAAGACACTTCAGACCCTGGACGCCAGCTCCAGCGGAGAAAAGCACCGCCTGGCACTAAAGCCACAGATAACCCTCCACAGCACAGGTGTTTCCGGATTCCCGAGCCCCGCCTCCGGCCACGCCTCGCCCGGACACGGAGGGGGCGGAGCTGGAGGACGTACCAGAGAGAGGGCGTTTAGAGGCTCCCAGACATGCGTACTGCTGAGGGACGAAGCGAAGAGCGCCATCTTTCACATGGGCAGAGGAAAAGGGGCGGAGAAAAGTCCCCAAATTCATTGAGTTTCTCGTTTTCGTGGTCCCTCTGGAAAAGGGAGAGTATTTGGGATTGGGCGCCTCCTTTTGAAGCGGTTTATCCGTGTTGCAGGATCGATCCATCCCCAAGTACTGCCTTACTTCTGCCCTTATTTTCCTGGAAATCTGGAATCCGATGGTCTTTCACTAAGTGTCGCTGTCAGCAAAATCCATATCGAACGTGTCTGTATGGTTTAATAAAATTTTTTAATTCTCTAAAGGTAGAGATTTTGGAGTTTGACACACTGTGTGCCTAAAGCTAAACCTTCGTAAATTCTAATATAGTGCTATGTGGCGGGATAGGCTTGGAAGGCTAGCGATTCTGGGTTAAACAGGGTTTCTTCCCTTTGCTGTGTGTGAACATAAATCCACAATGTATGCACCTTCCCTGCTCATTACCTTGCACGCTTGTGAAAAGCAGTGTATTGTAGCTATGAATACAAAATTAGATAGAAAAGCATATCTTTGGGATAAAAATTCATAGCGAATTGAAGCAGCACCTTCTGAGGCCCCGCCCCGCACGGGCCCTGCGCGCCGCCCGCGGTTTCCACGGCAACCGCGCAACAGATGCGGAGCCTCTGCAGGCCGCTGCTGTTGGGAGCGCGGTCCGCTATCGGCAGGTAAGGCGCCTTTGTCCCGGTGCCCGAGGGCGGTTGTCCACCGCTCGGATATATTCGCTATCAGTGGCACGGTAGTCCACCTCCTACGGGGACTCCATACCGGCTACTTTTCTTGCAAAACTAAACTTAAGGTCTCTTCGTAAATCTACTTTTTTAAACCAGCTCTCTTTTCAACGACTAATGTATTTATTCCACAAATACTTACTGAACACCTGTTACAATAGCCTAAGATGTACTGGAGTGATGGTAACCTAGCCCAGGAGGAAAGGCAAGATTTCCCGGTTACCCCTCTTAAATCTTAGAATCCACCACTAGAGGGTTCTCAACCTCTGAAATTGTAACAAAACTTTTTTAAAAAATTGATAGCATTAACACATAACAAAATGTGATATTAGAGGCTATGTTGTAGATTCAAGATTGGAAAGTTACAAAATTTCAAAATATTTAATTATAGATTATTAATTTTCTTCCACTGTTTGGTACTTCTTTTATTCAAAACTAGAAAGAAGTCCATGCCAGTCTGGCATTTACATTAACGTGTATTTTTTAATTGGGAAAAAATACATAGCTCTGTTCCACTTCATATTGGAATCTGAGTTAAATATTTGCACAATGTTTTTGTTTAGGGAAGTAATTCTTAAAATGTCTAGAGTCTGACTTCAAATATTAAAGAACTCGAGTATTTATTTACCAACATCCATAAATTATTGGTTGAAGCCTTCTATGGCAGAGCATTGACGCCTCAGAACTTCCAGTTTGCTCTGTGCTCAGACAGAGAGGGTCTGCAGCTGGAGAAAACCTGTAGAGAAAGAGTCACACAGGCTGGCATTTGGAAGTCAGGCTAGCTATACCGAGAAAAGGTACAAGTCAAGTGCATGTGAGCACAACACTAGCAGCATTTGCTATATTCCACCCTTTAAACACTCAGATCCACTCTTTCCCCACAGCAAGTTCACACCAGCCCCTCACTGATTCCTTAAGTAATGACTAGTACCAATTTCTAAAAGAAAAGAGAGATTAGTGGTATAAGCCAAAAAACCCACTACTGCAATTAACCCAAGGACTGTAATTGATCATTAGCCATCTTCCTCCCCCACCACCCATTTCTGTATTTTCCTTACCTTTGGTTAGAACTTCTGCTGATCTAAGGTGTTTGCCCAGTAGGGTGACCAGCTTTCATCCCTGAGGGGTAAAAGCCCCATATTACCATGTCCTTAACAGATTCTGGTTGCTGCAATTACCATTCTCTGGATATGAATGCATCAAGATGTGTCTCAGAGAATTCTCTAAATTCAGGATATATGTAGGCAGCAAATCTATCTTCACTTGTGAGTGCAATAACTCCTTACCAGCTTGTCAAGCCAAAAGTGACCAGCTAGCCAGAGTAGTTTCAGGTTTAGTGAAAGGTTTACTGAGTCGCCGATAGACCTATCTCTCCTATCAACCAAAGCCAGTCCAGCAGAGCCTAAAGTTGTGCAAAAGGAAGTACTGTTTGCTCAAGCCAATCACAGAATGACAGTGAGAGAAGTCATTCCTACCTCCACACTTGGTTCACCATGAAGTACACCATTTCCATCCCACACAATCCAAAACTAGTGCCTTAACTGCACCTTTGAGAAGCCTGTGTGACAGACCTGCAGCTTCTAGGTGAGGAACGTGGGAGAGCCAGTGGGCCTCATGTTCACATGTCTCTTATCATATCTTCTTTATTGTAAAGGGGTCCTTTGATCCGAAGCAGAACTGCATGAGATTCCATGATAAGTGAGACATACTTTAAACCCTTACATAGTGGTGCTGATGTTAGGGAAGACAAACTCACACTAGGAGCACATGTCACTTGCCCCTGCCAAGGTAGAAGGGTCCTGTGTAATCAGTTCATGGGTGAATAGATGTTCTAGCTCCTCAAGGATCATACCATATTGAGGGTTCATTCTCAGTCTGCTGTGCTCAAATAGTACACTCAGCAGTAGTAATAGCTAGATCAGCCTAGTCAGGGGGAGCCTTGTTGAGTCCATGCAAGCCTCCGTCACCTCTATCCCCAACACCATAATTTTTCCAATTAGGACTCCATTGTGTAAACACTGGGGAGAGCAAAGACAAAGACTGGCTGGCATCTACTGAATAATCATCTTGCCACCTTGGTGTTCAGTGCCTCCTCTGAGGTGGATGGTTTGTGAGACACTAGATATTTCATATCTATTTGCATTAGTTTTCTGTGCCGCATAACAAATTGCACAAATTTAGCACCTTAAGACAGATCAGACAGATTCCATAACCAGGGATCCTGGCATAGCTCAACTTGGCAATCAAGTGTTGGCTGAGCTATGCTTTCAACTGGAGACTCAATTTAGGGAAGAATCTACTCCCAACCCCATTCACATTCCTGGCAAAATTCATCTCTTTGCAGTTGTAGCACTGAGGTCCCTGTACCCTTACTATGCTGACCCCTTTGGGCTACTCTCAGCAACTGGAGACCACACACTGTTCCTTGCTCTGTGGTCCTCTCACACAGCAGCTTACTTCTTCCAAGCTAACAAGAAGTTTCTCTCTAGCCTGCTAATATGGAGTCATATATGACCTAACATAATCATGGAGGTGACATCTTTGGTATATTGAGAAGCAAGTCACAGATCCCACTTGTGCTCAAGGGAAGGGGATTATGCAAGAGTGTGACTCACTGGAGGTCACCTTAAGTGTCTTGGCCAAATCACTCATAACTCTAATTACATGCTTCATCCCCAGAACTCTTTTATATTCTGATATTGCTCCTTCTTGCTCCTTGATGAAGTCATTCAAAACTGTCGTCCAAATTGCACATGCTAAGCACACGCTCTACCACTGAACTACACCCGGTCCCTAACTCTCCTTTCTCACCTAAGATTATTATTTTTCCCCTGTTGGCTTATTCCATTTTCTCTTTCTGTTAGAGAATTATAATACCTATGTCTGTTTACTATCATTACCTAGATGCTAGCATGCACATTTAAGTCTTTGGTTAACCAATATCTTTATACTTTTCTACAAAATGCAAGGTCTTTAGGATGTTTCACCTCCTATGCCATCTGCCCAATGTATATACTCTCATTTTCCATTTTTCTAGTTTTATCTTATTTTTGTTTTTATGTACTCAGTGTTTGCTTAGATTTAGCAATATCTTTGCTTGCTTTATTTCCTTATGTCTTAGACCTACTAGCAGGGATCGTTTTCTCTTTGCCTAAGGCAAATCCTTATAGAGGTATCTGCTGGCAATGACTCTGTTTTTGCCAGTCTGAAAATATTTCATTTTACCCTTATTCTTGAGACATCACTGTTCTGAGAATGCAATCTTGAAAAATATTTCTCCTTCGATGTTGCTTCCAAGGTCAGACATCTATCTAATTGTCATTCCCTTTGCTGTATTCTCTTTTCTTCTAGGTCTGCTTTTAAAGAAGATATATTAATCTTTGGTATTCTTCAGGTTATCATTTTGTTTCTTCACATGGATTTCTTTTCATTTATCCTGCTTCATGATATGTTTAAGTTCCTGAATCTGAGGATTATAGTTTATCAATAATTCTGAAAAAATTTTTAGTCACTGTCTCTTAGAATATGCCTTGCTCTTTATTTTTTTTTTAAACTCCTTTTGGAACTGTCAGAACTTTTCGTGGTAATAATCATGCTTTAGTCTTTCCTTAATGTTTTCCTAATTTGGGTCTTTCTACTTCATTCTGGCTAATATCTCAACACCTGACTTTCACTTTATCTATTCTCTCTTCAGCTGTCTTATCTGTTTATATGCTGGTTGAATTTTTATGGTTCATTTTTATATTTTTTCATTTGTATACATCTACATGAAACTTTTTCAAATATGCTCAATCATTTGTAGTCTTTATTTTAACCTTGCTTTATTTTCAAACCTCTGTATTATTTCACTAAGCACATTAAATATTTTTGTTGGCTAGGTAATACTTTTTGCTAAACTTTCCATTTTGAGATAACCACAGATTTACATACAGCTGTCAGAAATAATAAAGAGAGAGTCTGTGTATTCTTTCCTTACTTTGTTTCATGAAAATAACTTGTAAAACTATGGTACAATATCACAGTAGGATATTGGCTTTGATGAAGTCAAGACAGAGAACATTTCCAGCCAGGAGTATCCCACATGTTGCCGTTATATACTTTGTTTACCATTTCTGTA